AGCAGTGTGACAAGAAGTGGGATGATATTTTTCTTCTTTTTGTGAACGTGACAGTACTGAACATTTTTAATACCTTTTTGTTACTAATGCCGTTCTGCTCGTAGCAGTTTACCTCCTTTTATATTAGGAACCAAATTTAAAAATATACGAAGGTCTTATTTGATCATGTCGTGACCAACTTAATCGCGATAAAGGACATTAAGGACGAAAGCTTTTAATTCAGTGTAATCCGGGCAAGTTTCTTTGACAGGCCGGTTCTAGCTTTTTAGATCACTCTCAGATCAGATGTCGCTTAATTCGGAAGTTTTTTTTCTCTGTACTAGGGATTCTCACTCTCATTAAAGGATTCATATTTTGGTCTTGGGTTTTCTTTCATTCACTCTGATACTCTCTTTGGATTTTTTCTTCCATTGTTTCCCCCTATTTCTCCCGCTTCCCACCCTTTTAGATTTCCCACATCCCGTCATTTCCTCCCTCCCCCAGTGCCCCTCCCAAACCCTATTCATCCCACCCCTATCCTCCGCTACAGACTACGGTGGAGACCACTGGAAATAACCGAAGGTGGGGTGACAATTCCCCCCAAAAAAATTCCTGGAAGGAAAACGATTCTAACAAAAAATCCTGCAAGCGGTGATACCTAAAAACGAATAAATTATATGCCCTCGAAAAAACTTTCTGCATACAAGAGGGCTTTAAATAAAAAATTCATGTACCAAGAATTCTCCTTCCCCCCCTCTCGCCTCTGGGTGTTTCTAGTGGTCCGTCCCTAAGTAACTGAAGTACTTTCAAAACTCCTTATTACAGCAGTTATTACGGACACAAGAGGAACAGAGCTGAACGCCCGCATTTCAGAACGGTGTATGTAGTGTAAAGGAAGGGATTTCAATTTATTACATGCACGCATACTGAGATATATTCTCTTGAACGTAAACTTTACCTTGTTTAAAAAAGGCATGGAAGGCTTGGACAGACTGGGATGTATAAATGGAAACTGACATAATGTGAATTTCCATTTATTCTTACAGTCAGTAAGCAGCTTATCATTCATTTATTGTTTAAACTGCTCTTCTAACATAAACTCGTAACTTCTCGGGGTGGCATCTCGCAGGAGGTACCTTGCAATAGATCGGTGGGACATACATTCCTGTAACAAGGCGCATGAAATTCCGCTTTAACTCGGATACCAATTCAGAATGGGTTTGGTTTCCGTTGAAGAAGAATTCAGTGAATTCTTTCTGCATTGAGGGACCTGCTCCACCTGGAAGATGTCAGTAAAAATAAGAGAACGATATAAGATTAGATATTAATGAACAAACACTTCATGATTTGACAGCATTAGTTATCAATATTTTTAACACTGACACTCTAATTTCACTTTAACATAGCATTGTTGAACGTATTTTAGTATTTAAACGGTAGATGTAGGCATATTTTTATCCCCTCAAAATTTTTCATCTGTTCGGATTTCCTAGCTGAAAGTCTAGTGATCCGAAAATTATAGGGATCAAAACTTACCTTTTCGAAAATTTCAGCCAGAAAAAAGGCTTCCGAAAATTCTAGGTGACTTTTTTAGGGTGAAAAACCGTTAAAAATGGGCAATTATACCATTTTTGTAGATGTTCGAAAATCCTAGGAGAGGCAGACAAGCAAGAAATTTTTTTAACAACAAATGTTACAAAAATTCTAGATCTCAGATCGTCTTCCGAAAAGATATTTTCCAAAAATTGACGTTGGGTGCTCCTGACGAGTCTTTTACTGTAACGAGCAGGGCGGGTGATGCTTAAGACTGTGGATCATCTATAAAGCGGGCCGGAGACACATAACGACCGTTGTGGAACTTATATTCATATAGTTGGTTCAATAATTTATAATTTCCTTCAAATCATTAATTATTTTTACCTGCTGAGATCCTAAGTTGCAAAGCCATCATTATCACTACAAACGCGACCATCAGTTTATACTCCCAACTCTTCCAGGTCTATCCTGTAAACGCTTATAACTGAAAATGCTTCAGTATGTGAACATTTAATACGGTAGCGCGTACCACCTAGATATTAGAATTTATCGGCTACACATAGTAAATTTTAATCAAAGGTTAAATTAACTCAGTAATTATGTATTCATCTGTTCAACAGCAAACTTGATTTAAAATTGATTCATTCTTTTCATTTTAATTACTTATATTCTGTAGCTCTGTATCCTGTCATGTCACAGTGTGCAGACTCGACAAGTATATTCACGGAAACTATAAAACTGCTTATTGTGTGCCTTGTTTTTCAGAGGCCATCTTTAGGTTCGCCTCGGTTTTATGGATTTTAAAATTGCTCTGAGTGTCATTATACAGGAGGGTAAATCATGCGGAAAACCTGGGCTACCTTGGCTTTGAAGAACAATCTTCCTATTCAGCGCTGTTACTGTAGTGACGCTAATGAAACCTTGGGACACGTGATATATTGGTTTAAGCGCTCTGCCTGCTGCTGACCATGTAAACTTTCAAACGAATTCAAAACGCTCCTGTGCAATAGGCACTTCTTAATCGCATTTTTGCTTTGTTTATCATGACTGGTCTTTTTAGTTTATTAAATCGTGGACATCTTTCGGAAATAAAGTAATCAATGGAGTTAAATCATGGTCGGCCTTCGGAAGTAAAAGTAATCCGCAATTCAGTTAGAGAGAGCCGTACAAAAGTATTCCATACTGAAACCCAACCCTTTAAACTTTACACTTTGCACGGAGTTTTTCAGGACAAAAATATCAAAGATCTATCATTATATCAAGTTTGCGTGTTAGTCACATATATAGCTCAACAGCAGGCCCAACATGCCGACGGTTTAAATTTCGACCAATGTAAGGGAATTGGGATGTCGGAATTCAGGAAATTTTTGTCTGTGGAATCCGGAATCCTGGGCTTTGGAATCCGGAAAATTCGGAATTCAATTTCCACAGAGAAAGAATACAGAATCCAATACGTGGAATCCGGAATCCACGGCTTGGAATCAAGAATTCAAGACTGTACTGAATTTTCTTACAAGAGGCGGGTTATTGCCGTTATCTTAACAGCCTTGCATTTTGTTAAAAGTTATCATAAATAATATATGAATGCACAGAAAATTTTATTATGTTGGATACTATTGTTAATAATGTCAGTCAAGCTCTATAATGCTGATTTGGGGGCGTTAGGGACTGTATAATAATTATATTGAAAAAAGGGAGCGGAACAGTGTGTAAAGTAGTACCGTAAACTTCTGATTATAAGCCCTGCGCTTATACAACTTCGTAAGGGGTTTGAGGAGATCTTATATTCGGGGGGAGGGGGGCTGCTTATAACCGGACTAAAGACGGTGTTTCAAAACAAGTTACATAGCAGTGCTGATCAAAATACATTTTGCATTCCATCGCTTTCTTAAGCTTCAAAACGTCGTCAAAAGTCGAATTCATTTCAATACAAGCTAGAGTAGGGCTTATATTCAGGGGCGAGGGGTGGCGGCTTATAATCGGATGTATTTTTTTGTTTACTGGGTAGATGGGCCTTTTATTCGGGGAGAGGGGGAAGGGGGGCTTATACACGCGTGTGTGTGTCTGTGTGGAGGGGGGGCTTATAATCAGAAGTTTACGGTACACCAAGAGTGGTGGGGCTAATCATTCATCATTCAATAAAAAGAGAGGAGATTTTGAGCAAAAAATTATCATATCTTCAAACATGGAAATGAAAACACTGCTACCAAAGATGCTTTAAAGTTACCAGGAGAAAAATATTCGGAGTGCATATCAACTCCCTTATTTAGAAATGAATCTAAATAAGAATCTAAGATAAATCGATAAAATAAGGTTAACTACTCTTATTCAGTAGGATGCTAAAAACATAAAACTTAAGTCAAAATTAAATTAATAGAGGGCCTTCTTAGTTTCCCAAATTTGTAAGGAATGGTTATTTAAAAGGTAAATATTAATGTATTACCGTCCAGTTTGGAGTCACGGTATCCCTCTCCTAAGAACGCTATTTTAATTATTACTCACGAAAGGAGGAATTGCTATATCCTTCATGGTCCTTAGCCAACAAAATTCACAAAAAATATTGTAAAGATATTTTACTATAGAAAAGGATGCTACCCTTGGATAGAGTGGCAAGCACCTAACTGCGGAAGGGCTGCATCTTTTATAATCTCAATCGTGATGCAGGTTTAAATCACTCCAGTTTGACTGAGTACTTTGATTTTAGTACATTTATTTTGAAAGGAATGTTAGTTAACTGCCGTATACATCATCTATCTTTCTTAGCAGTGAATACCTAGAAAGTTCCACAACCCTAAAAGCTTTCTACAAAAAACGACAAAAATGGCATGCGTGACTGACTTAATATTTCAACACGATAAAAAGGTTTTCGAACACTAACAAACATTAATCTTCCTCCATAAATCACACTTTTTATCGATATTATATGGCCAAGTAAAAGAAAAAAAACAAGTGTTTCTCGTCAGGATTTCTATTAAAAAGAGAGCAGGCGGGTGCTTTTTCTTTTGTTATTCCGACTTCTTCGGTCACATATTAATGAATGAAACGTCCGATATTGATTAAACACAAATTTGGTTTAATTTGATTTTAAGAAACTGAGTAACGCCTGTAACACAGGATTGCAGATTAATTTGTGTTGACAGTAACGCCTGTTGGTTTTGTTCTTTCCAACTTTTCCAATAACAAATAATAAAAAAAGAGAGGCGGCCCCAAAAAATGAAGCGGGCGGGGACGAAAAACATTTGTTGTACTTTTTTTTAATTGTCCTTGGCATGTTTACTCGTTATATGGTGAATATATTTAGCTAAATTAGTTTAGCAAACACAATTCCATTGCAAACACTCGGCAACAAGACATCCATTTTTCAAACTTTTATCAACATGTCAGTTAGCTGTATGTTAATTTTCGGCCAGGGCACATGAGACCTGTGACATATGCACGAAAAAGATCATTCTTTATACTGAGTATAGATTCGAAGCTGTCACTCCATGTGCATGATGTTTTTCCGAAGTTTGATTTCCACTGTTCTCGTCGTAATTGTGACAACTACAGGTAAGGAAGTCTGCTAGAAATTATGTACTGAAAGTAGGCGTTGTTCTTTTTTTAGAAGTTCTCTTACTAGCGACAAGCTTTTACGTCAGTTTACGCTTAGCGTTTGACCAGTTATACGGCTTACAGTCAACCTTCCCGGCCGTTTTAAACTGAGTGGAATTGTAAAGCATCAGTGTTAAGTCTGAAATAGCTATGTCAGAACTATACCAAAGCGAAAACAGCTAAAAAAAATAGCAACCGATCTCGAGAAAAACAAATTAATTGGCTCAGTTGTCTCTTGTTAACTTTAAAATCCGTGAGCGAAACCCCGTGATGTTACCATTCAAATGAAACCTCTTCAGTGGGCAGAGCATTTAATTTAGGTGGTGCTATTTGTTTCTTAGAATTATAAATCAAGTTTACTATTAGGGGAGTTATGGCACTCTTATCACCCTAAGCTTCGACTTAGCTGCTCTGACTTACACTCCGGAAGGTGAGAGAACAAACTGTTAGCAGTTTGTGTTAACTGCCCTAGACCCACAGTATCAGGAAATTATGGGGGCTGTCTATGTAAATTATCAATGAAACCGATGCTTCGAACGAATTCATTTATTCGTTGTTAAGTTGCCTTGTCTAGTGGAACTCAGGCCATTAATGCGGCTTTTGGATAATTCTAAAGAATATATTTATTTAATAAATAAAACGTTTGTGGGGGAAGGGCGTGAAGAACTGTAAAAAACAATTGTCAACCGCGACCGAAATGCAGGGGCATTCGTCACAAAATTTTATCAAAAAAGCTTAAATATGCTTCATCATTCAAATTTTTGTCCTTTCGTAAATGTACGTTATGGCCCGTCATAGCCAACCTGCCTGGCGTTCGAAAGCAGCGCAAGATCTAGACCTTCTCCTTCCGAATTATTTTTCTCCCTTTTCCCAGTCCTTTCGACCACTTACTCGCTTAAAGCCTTATACCCTATACAAATCTTTTTTTCTGTTCTCGTTTCTTTGAATGTACGACTTTTTTTAACAGAAAAGTCTTCAGCTTGCACCATGTATCCTGCCCCCAGAAATGGAGCCCTTGGCTGTATAAACATTACTTTCAGTAGTCTTGGTGTGGTCCCTATTTGTTACGCGATGTGTAAAAGCGAGTTCGACTTTGTCTCGAAAGCTGAGCGAATCTATATTTGCTACCAAGGTCAATGGAAGACGAGGCTTTTGGAACCGGCGTTACCTTGGCCGGACTGCTCTGGTAAGCCTAAAGCGATAATAACTTAGCCCCTCTCCCTCCCCCCCAACTCTTATTCGGCCTAAACGGGTATGTGACGTTCACCAGGTTATGTAGGGGGAGTATTCCGTCCAAGCAAAGGTCAGGAGCTGCTGACAGACTATAATATTTCATTGCCTGCGTGGCAGTCTCTTGGAAGTAGCTAGTGGGCGCGCGAGGAGACAAGGAGACACGCGAGGTTTTCCCAATATATTGCAAATTACAAAGGCGGCATTGAATCACGTAGATAACATTGAAAGTATTGCAAGTTATGTGAGATTTGATTTGTAGGTTTCACTCGTAGAGTAGAAAGTATAATTGTCACGGCCTTGGTCAATATAGGGGCATTTGAAATTTTGTTGGATTTTTTCTAATTTGGCCCTGATTTGGCCACCTTTGGAAGTGAAATGGTTAAGTAGTCATTGCCTTACTAGAGGTGGACACGGAAGAGAAGTTAAAACGGGAGTCAATGTATGGACTGTCCGCCAAGACAAAAAGTATCCGTTGTTGAGAGGCGATCGTAAGTTTGGTATAGGGAATGCATTCACCAGAAGGGACAATCACAGTTCACAGTGTTTTAAGATCAGAGCAACAGCACTCTAAAATTCTTATTTTGTTATAGCGGCGCAAGGTCCAAAAACGATGGTCAATTTATTTTACTTTGACGGAAATCCAAGTGATCCAAACGTCGTCAACGTTATAAAGGATAACTTACTTAACCTGTTGGAAAGAGACCTTGTCCTTTGTGATTATCCCGGTGAAAATCCGCCTGGACAGTGCAAAAAGGACAAATTTAAGGTCACAGCTGGTGAACTATCCGGTAAGTAATTTTACCACAGAATTTTTAACGTCTTTGTAAACTATCGATCGGTATGTGGAAATTATCACTAAGTGCGGTTTTCTCTACATTAGATGATGCAAAAATCGGTCTGCACGACAACGAATTGCGAATAATCAAAACCTAATAAAACAAAATGAATTGCGACGGTAGTTACACCATGTACTTACCACTGCGACCTTATAGAGGGAGGTGTGAGCTGACTCGAGAGCGACTGTTATAGTATGACAATCAACCAAAAGATCCAAACTCTTTTATACGGACGACAGGATGTGACCCGCTACATTTACATTAAAATATTCCCTAAGCAAGAAGTGATGAACGGTCGCTAATAAAAATATTATCATTATCATTATTGATATTATATTTATATTGCAGGTTGAAACACACTTTATACACCAATGAATGAAGGATGTAATTCGAAAATTAAATTTACCGGTAGATAGAAGAATGCTTATTAAATGTAACGTATGTAAAGTAACTAATACGCGTAACATCCCTGACTAATAAACAGCGTTCTAATCTTAAAAAGTGTCGTTACATAATATATTATTCCAATCTATCCGGTTTTCACGGAATGTTATCCCTGGCTGAAAGGTCACGTGACGAGCCGAAAACTGACCCACTTACTCCCGGGGGGGTACTCCTGGGAATTCTTGGTGGGGATGTGTCGCCCTGTTCTCCAAATCCTGACCCTAGTCAGAACAAAAAATGTAATTTTCCACACCCGTTTTTAGACCAGACCTCTAAAATCCATATCTGTTTTTAGACCTGGCCTTTAGGCAGAAATTATGTTATCATTACGTAGATTAGAGCGGAAACAAAAAAAAAATTGTCAAATCTATTTTGAATTCGGATAATTCTCTTTCTTTCTTACTCATTTGGAATTGAAACGATAAATACGTCCATACACTCCCGTAGTTCCCTCAAAAGCCATACCGGATTCCAGACCAAAAGGGGCAAAGTGTATACCCATTTTCAGACCAAAAAGGCGCAAAAACCCTACCCAATGGGGTGGCACATACCTATATAGCTTATATAAGGGAGTACCCCACCCCCCGGGCACTTACTTAACCTATTCGTCTCTGAACCGCCAACATCGTCCGTGCCGAGCGGACCCACGTTCCTTCTATCAAAAGAAAAGCGAAGAAAGAGGGTAGGAGAGAAAGCGGAAGAGAACTGAGTCAAAACTGCTGTATTTCTTTTAAACCCAAATTTTGCTTTCTTCGGTTGTGCGAACTTCGGAGAATGATATTTTGCACCTTGAACAGAAGCTTCGAAATGCACTGCTTGAAAACGGCTTTTTGATAAGTCTTAGCCATTTATAGCCAGACAGTGACCAGGCGGCTCGACTTGCTTCAAAACGCGTCATTTCGGCAAATTCCCAGGAGAGAATGAATTTCATTCAACATCTTGTTTTGAGGCGGCTATAAATCTTCCCTTCTTCAACCCTTCCCCCCCCTCCCAAATTTTGCATAACCTTTGTTAAGGTAAATTCTCCTGGGTATTATACTTCAAAAATACTAGTTAGCATAAAAACATATGATTTACATAACAAAACCGGAAGGGTTGTATCAAAACAAGGTCAAATCCAGCCTCTTTTCCATCTTGTAACTGTAAAATGGCCTATTAGGCAAATTACGTACATACTCTTTAACCGAACATGGAGGCCGCTGGTCTTATCTGATTCAAGCAAATTGTATCTCGTTTTAAAGCTGAAAGCGCGTAGAAGTCGTCAAATTTTTATCAAATTTATGGTGATATACTCTTTAAGGATTAGAATTTTTCACGCAAGGCGAATCCTGGAGGGGAATCGTTCTGATACTGCGCATGCTCCCTTCAGGAAAGGAGAAAGAACCCTAGCCCAATGTAAGTTTATTCACTTTGGATTTAAAACCAATGTTCGTCTGCTAGGCTGGATTCCACCTTAATCTTTGATCCCTATAAGGTACAGCTCTTAAATGTGACTGGCAATAATTTTAATTGCCGCAACAGAGAAGTCGTCATTGAAAGATTTCTTGAGCTTTATTTCTTTTTTGCCATTTTGTTAGTTTGCTATTTATTTGTAAAATTTCAATCAGAGACACATTTCTTGATCCCTCAGTAACAGAGGCGAGGGGACAACAAGTAAATAAATGTTAGAAATAAATATATAAACAATACTGACAAGAACAAAAAATGTAAATTGTTCTTGTCTTGTCTTGTCTTTTACATTTCTTCGCTCATAAACTGTGGGTGATTCACCTCGGTGGTGGGCCAAACTCTGCAAGTTACATTTAAGTTCACCTAGCCTTTCGCCGTCCACACGAAACCATCCAGTGATGCGGACTCACCGGAACCGCTTGTTTTTTAAACCTTTCTCCAGGGCGTTTTAAGGCTCAATCTACAGAAACCCGGAAAAGAAAACCGTCGACCAGTTTCATATGGAAATAATCGCAATATTGTGGACGAGGCCTAAAAATACTTGAAAGAAAAAAAAACGAGAACAATGAACAAAGGCCTACGCTTTTTTTATCATTTATTTGATGGTTTAACATTTGCATATAGTTCTGATCGCAATCCGTTATGTTAAAAAAGGAACAAATATGTAAATCATTAAACTTCACAGGTTTTTTTCAATACAATAGATTCTCATTAAATTTGCGAGTATCAAAATAGAATAATGAGTCAACTTCATTCACCCATGCGCAAATAACCCCAAATTGATTTTTGAAATTTCTTAACGGCATATCGTAGTTTCCAGCTAGTCTCTCCTGAACAATCATGCATGGATCGATTGTGTTTAACGATGCCTGAAAAAAGTTACTGCTGCTAAAGCAGTTCGTTCTATTGCACGGTATAACATTTGAACTGTACCACACAACACTGTGAAGAAATTCAACTGACTCCCGAAGCAATGTGGAAATTTGAAAGTGTAAGTGCTACAGCTGTTGCTAATGACATCGTCATCATACATCTCTTGCCTTTCTCTCAACGAATTACCAAAGAACTACCAAGTGCACAATATTTAGACTGTGAACTTCGTTCTCCACTGTATAACCTTTCAGAGTGTTTTATTTTAATCGGCCGAGGTATGCTCAGTTTTTCCTTTTTCTTTTTCCCCAGTTTTGAGCCATCCTACCGCAAGTAAAATTCAGTCGTTGAAGGATAAAGGAACTTAACGAACCGGCATGATCAGCTTATGGTAGAAAAACAAACAAGAGATTTGAAGAGGTAACTATCCAAGTAAGAAGTCACCTTCACGCGGACAATCATAAACTGACAGAAGGATATAAAAGGTTTTAATATGGTGACAGTGAACTTGGTTTTTTCATAGGAGACCTGAGGTTACTATAACTTCATCACACAGTTATATTAGACCCGGCCACGAGTTGAAGTATGTCTTTATCTGGACAATATTTGCTACCGAGCGATACGTTAGGCAATAATAATTAGTTTTACGTGCATTATCCCAATGAGCAAATAGAGTACTTTATAAAGTTGTTATTACCCTTATTAACTTCAAAAGTGGGACATGGGTGTTAGAGGATAAAACGTAGAAATTATATTGGGACAAGTTCTCTTCCTAGCCTCACAACTATTTACTAAAATTGAAAATCATTCCCTTTTTCTCTTACTGACGAGAGTCGTACAGCTGTTATTTTTCATTGCACTGTTTGGTTATCAACGCTTCAAACCAATTCTTTTTTTTTTTTAAGTGTCTCGGCCAAATAAAGCATTTAAGAGACACTAAGGCCCGCGGACAGAATTTTTAAGATACTTGGCGTACTTGTCGTTTTTATTCCAAATGAATCGAGAAAGAAAAATAAATACGTAAATTCGAAATGCATTTTAAGAATCTTTTTGTTTGTGTCCTAATCTAAGTAATGATGACATAATTTCCGCTTAAAGGCCAGGTCTGAAAACGGGTATGGAATTTAGAAGCCAGGTCTGAAAGCAGGCGTGGAAAGTGACATTTTTTGGTCTGAAATAGGGTCAGGATTTGAAGAACCGGGCGGAACACCCCCAGCGGATTTTCTGCCAGTCGCTTTAGGGTAGTAAATAATGCAAAAAACGGCCGAGGTTTAAATAATAGGGCTACACGGGAATCACAAGAGAGATATTCAGTTTGCTTTTTTATTGGGTACGTTGAGTCTCAGTACATATTTTTGTTGTTGTTGTTGTTGTTGTCTATTTAGGTAACTCAATCTAAGAGAAGTGCAGTCATAAGTTGATCAAAAAGTGCGACCCAAAACGAAATGCATTTAAAACGTAAGTGCCTGTAACAACACCTTCACTCCCCTTAGCTTACCCCCATCTTTCTCTTTCCTTTAATACAATTCTTACAACTTACTTCAATAAATTCCCAGCTATATATCTTACTAGGTCAGTCTAACACATAAGACAAAAACTGGAGTCTGATTGTCCTCGCTTTGAATTAGATAATGTAATATTAATGCTGGGTTAGGGGTTTTATACTAGCTAAGGCTAGGAGACACGGCCTGTGTTAATTAGGTAATCGCTGATTTCAAAAACTTGACTCGATAAAATTTTGACTGCCCGATAACGAGTATTTCAAAAAATCGTATCCGATTTCGTCCCATGTTATGCTTTAGCTGATTTTTTGTCATGTTCACTCTTGTAGGTCACAATCTAACAGAAGTACAGTCATTAATTGTGTAAAAATTGCGGAATCAACTTAACTAGGAGATTTTGAAAACGTAAGTATTTTTAACAACCCCGACCCCCATCTTTCTTTGGTGCTTCAATGAATTACGTCTACTCAGGATCTTGGCTGTTAAAGTTACTACAGAATGGCAAATGGCTCATTTGGTAACTCGATCTTTTGTTCTTTTCTTTTTACGCAGTAGCATCCAGGCGAACTCAAAATCATTCAAAATCGCTGAAATACCACGTTTGAGGCAAAAGGACAACAATATACCGTAGGTAAGGTAATACAACGTTTATTTAACACTGACCTATATATAGTTAGCGATATATTGCTACATAAAGATGAAGTAAACTATGAATCCAAGTCACCAAAAAACAGATTGTGTGGGTCCCCTGTGATATAACCTACGAAGGAATCCTCGTCCCAGGGTCTACTGGTGTCCCGGCCAATATGGCGGCGCAGGGAGGGTGAATCTTCCATCAATCACAGAGTCAGTGTAGCAATGCAAACCTAAAATTTAGGCCTATAAAGTACCTACAACAACCTCGAGAAAGGACTCTGCAATATAAAAACCAAAATACCAAACAAGTCAACAGAATTAGAAGGTCAGGGCCGACGTAAAGGTAAGCTCAACAGTTGACAAAAGCCAGAAAAAGCTTAGCAATGTTCAAGTCGACTGTCAAACTTACAAACAACCTAGCACTATCTATACTGCAGGGAGAGTAGAGTAGAAAAACTGGAGAAAATTACTGCTGCTACAGTATGTTACCTTGCTATCTTTCAAGGAAGTGTTGTAGGCCGGT